ATCAATAAAGGACAGCTTTGTAGTGCTCATCTCTAATACCTTAAGTTTATGAAGAGAAGGATTTGCAGCTGCCAAGTGTAAAGATCTAGCTTTGAGATATGTAAAACACCACATGGGAGTATAGGTATCATCTGTGCCTTCAAAGTAATCTAAAAAGATACGGTGCAAAATGAGGGATAAATTAGCTTGACCAACAAGTAAACCAGGGGTTTGTGTTTAATTAAAATTAAAAAAAAAAAAGAAATCCTATGCTATCAACATAAACTGACTCAAAACAGATAGGCTGACAGGCAAAGTGAATATTACAAGTGCAAAGGGAAAGCGATCAGAGAAATAGGTAAACCAAATATATCATGACAAATTCATGTCTGTTAGACTGCAAGGAGACTGCAAGTATAACCGCAGGTTCTTTGGACCCCTGAGGGATTAAAGGGGGTAATTAAAGTGGATAGTGAAGCAGTGAAGCTAAATGAATTTGCTGCATTAGTCTTTTATTATAGATGACAAGGGGGAAAAACTCCAATTCCAAGAGCTCTTTGGTGATTATTGGCCTTAACGGAGATTTGAGTCTCTAAGTAGAAAGTTACAGAACAACTTAAAATACTCAAGAGCAGTAAGCCACCAGAACCAGATGGCATCCACCCCATGGGACAGTAAGGAAATAAAGTGTAAAATAGCTAAGAAACTGATGAGGATGTGCAATACAGCCTTAAACTGCAATAGTTACTGAATACCAGAGAATCATTTACATACTGCTCTCTTCAGGAAAGGAGCCAAGGAAGAACCCAGGTATTAGAAGACCAGTGAACCTACCCTCAATACCAAAATGGGTCAAGACACTAGGATGTAACGCTTGAATAAGTCCATGAACTAGGGCCAAACAGGGAAGCAGTCGCAACTAAAATTCAAGTGCGAATGCTGCTTAGTCTTTTTCATTTTAAAGAAACTCTGCAAAAACAAGAGGAATTAAATTGCTTTGCTTTTTCTTAAACAAATACTGTAATGGAAGGTTTTAAACCCAAGGACTGACACATTCCCTGTTGCATGAAACCAGGCAGGGAACACCACTGTCTGTTTTCACTGTCAAAGCTGAGTGAAATTCAAAATGTCAACAACAAAAAAAATCTTCTAAATGGTTTTCACAAGCTAACATAAGAGAGAGAGCATCATCTTCATGACAAAAATGCACGCTTCAGCTTGAACGTGAATGTAAACACAGCATACCTCGCTCATCATGAGTGGTTGCAGAAATTATACCAGTCAGGTTGTCTTCAAAATGTAGGAATTTTTTGATGGGTTACTTCATGAGCAAAGAGAATTAATCAAAATAGTCTTCCAATTAGCTACCAGTAAGAAAATGCCTAATTGTTGGTTAAAAATTGGTTAAGCCTGTTTCATAGATATGCCTGGCTTGATAAATGTCTTGAGTCAGTAGTTTCACTCAGTGGAATAGAAGTCAACTTGTCCTGAAGGCTCACTCTGTGAGTGTATGCATGTGTCATGGTAACATTGGTTATAAAGAAAAATTTGACATTATTGTCTAATGTTTCTCTAAACTTTAAAAAAAGTATATAAGCTCACTGCTGGGACGATTCTTGCCTTGCTTCTCATATTTACTTTCCACTAGTTTGTAATCAAAGCATTTTATAAATATTATTTAAAATAGTTAAATGTTTGGAAATACTTATAGAAAACATTTGCTTCTCAGAGATGACAAAGGTTCACGCAATACCCCAGATGTGCACTGAAGTTACCTGATCCTAAATGTTCTTCAGGAATAAAAGGGAACATACTGGCAAACTTTGCTGTTAACACTTTTGGGTTCTGAGCTTATAAAATTGTTTCAGAAAAATCAGAACACACTGGGTCAGACTGTAGGTCCATCTTGCCCAGTCTTCTGCAGCCTCCCTGAATGTGTATAGGTATGCCCTTAGGGTCTAGGAAGTTGTGATTCAGAAGCTGAACCCCTCACCTCCCATTCTCAATAGCTACTCATGCACCTTTCCTCCAAGAATCTGTCTAATCCTTTTCTGAATCTGGCTACGCTTTCAGCTTCCACTAGATCTTGTGGCAATGAGTTCCACACTTTAATTACACATGGTGAGAAAAAGGTCTTGTTTTTGTAAGTTTTAAAATTACTATCCATTAGTTTCATCCAGTGGCTAAGACTGGATGCTGAAATGGAAAGTGAACAGGGTCTAACCAGGTTTTTTCCCCACAGTTCCTCTCTCACTTGCAGCTTCCAGCATTGAGGCCATTTATAGATGTGCTCTGGGAGTTGTGGGGGAGCACTTTAATTAAAGCGCTCTAATTAAAGCTCCCAAAATGTCACATGCATCAGCGTGTCTGCACTGAAAAATGATGGTGGGGGTGCTTTAAAATGCCCCCACTACCATGTTTCAGCACGGGAACGCTGATACACATGACACTGGAGCCTGCTGGAGCACAGCTCCAGCTGAGTCTGCTCCGACACGCTGTAATTACAGCGCATTGGAGCGGCCTCCCTGAATGTGTATAGGCATGCCCTTAGGGTCTAGGAAGTTGTGATTCAGAAGCTGAACCCCTCACTCCCATTCTCAATAGCTACTCATGCACCTTTCCTCCAAGAATCTGTCTAATCCTTTTCTGAATCTGGCTAAGCTTTCAGCTTCCACTACATCTTGTGGCAACGAGTTCCACACTTTAACTACACACAGTGAGAAAGAGGTCTTGTTTTTGTAAGTTTTAAAATTACTATCCACTAGTTTCATTTTATGACCCCAAATTCTTGTATTATGAGAGCCAGCAAATAATTAATCCCTATTTACTTTATCTTCACCACTTAAAATTTTGTAAACCCTTATGTCCTTCCTCATGCATCTCTTTTCTAACCTGAATAGGTCCAGCCTCTTCAGTCTCTCCTCGTATGGAAGTCCCTCTATACAACTAATCCTCCTTGTTACTCTTCTCTGCACCTCGTCTAGTTCTTCTACACTCTCTCTCTATTCTATATTCACAGCATGGATGCACAGTGGATTCATAAAAGGGCATGATATTTCCTCTTTTATTTATTCATTCCTAACATTTTCTTTGCCTTTTGATGGCTGCTGAGTACTGAGCCAATGTTTTTAGTGAGCTGTCTACAATGACGCCCAGATATATTTCCTGGGTAGTAACAGCTAATGTAGAACCCATCATAATCTAAGAAAGTAAGCAATGGTAGACAGGATAGGATTCTGGATCTGCATATGCAACGTAACAAAAAACACAGAGTGTTTGAATGACTTTAAAAACAGAAGACAAAGAAAATCTGGTGGCATTACTTCAATAACAAATCCTTACCTGGAGTCCCCTCCATTCATGGTAACCTTTCCTAAAATGCACTTCATCTCTCTAAAAGTAGCTTTGTAGATACTACATCATGAGGCTTCATATTTACCACTTCTTGGTAATTCAACATAAAACATGCTCAGCTGCCGGTTCCTAGTTTGCATCCTTGCAAATTCAGCTTTGGCTCTTTCCACGTCTCACATGATCACCATTAAAAAATTCTGGCTGCCTAATTAGAACTTCACACATGCACAAACCCCAGCACCTTCATCAGTGCACTTTCACAGGTGTGAAGTACTGGAATTCAGCAAATAACCTGACAGTACTCATTTCCCACTGGATTTGCTCTGCAGGACTAAGGATATTAAAGAAAACAGAAGTAGCCTGTCATTAAAGTCAACAGATCTAACTCTGAATAGAGAGTGCAAACAAAGGCAGTGCCAGTTTTACACCGTCACCTCTCAGGGTTTTTTTGTTTTATTTTGGGGTGGGCTTGTTTTTGTTTAAAAGACCCTAAAAAAGAAAGAGCAGAGATGGAAAAGATTTAAGGCAGTCGACACTCATGGTGAAGCTCCAAACACCAGGATGATTTATCTTGAGAAAATCAACAAGAGGAGTCTTCACTCAGTTATTCAGTATCACAGCTGGCATGATGGCCTTTTTTTCAGCTTCTAGTTTAGGACAGGAATAAAAGACTGCTACTAAATTAAATCTAAAATTTAAAACTATCAGCACAATACTTCATTCCACGTAGAGTCCAGTGCTAGAAGTTATAGCCTCAACTATAATTGCTGGATCTTAAGAACAGTAGAGCATGTATATGTATCTCTGACCATAAAATGTAAGAAAGATTATCTAAATCCAGCAGAAACTTTGAGCTTTGCAAACTAAATGAGTGGAATGGAGTCAATCCACAGGCCGGATCTGTCAAGTTTGGGCCCTGCACACCTGGATTGGGCCCCACAATGCGGTGGCCCCATGCTGCTGATCAAGTATGCAGGGCCAAATTATCAGGCCTGCTGGGCTCTCCATGGATCTGGAAATATGGCCACAGGGGAGTGTGATTAGCACTACCATCGCTCCCGCGCTGTTAAATTTTCTGACCCATGGGGGCCCACCAAGCCAGATGACATGGTTCCACAAGCCAGATCTGGCTCCGGGTCAGCGGCTGAGCACCCCGATCTAATCACATCCTTCCAAGCAGAGATTCATGGAAACTGCATTGAGAGAAGGTGAGAAAGGAGAGTTGCCTCACATACACTACTTCGGACAATGGGCAAATGAGTGCACAATGAGTTCCTTTTAATAAGATACTGGTTTTGTTCACTCAGAAAAGCCAGAAAGATGACTGAAAGAGACAATGGCTGGGCCAGGCACAGACTTGGTTTTATGGACACATTATATAGGGAACTAATTCATCCAAAAAGATTCACAAAAGCAGATTTGAAAACACAGAATATTAATTTATCAACTCATTTTCTAAAGCCACCTGAGAGTGTTTAGGTCTTGCAAACTTTCCTAGGAGGTGTTCAACAGCATAGAGGTAATCTGGCCCTGGCCTACTGATGAGCTCATAGCATGGCTCTAGTGAAAAGCTACTAAATATTTTATCTATATGCTGCATGCATTATTTAGTCCTCAAATGCAACAACACGAGGGAAGTCTTTGAGTCCGTACTTCTACATACTTACTGTATTGAGTGCATTGAGTGTAGTGTCATCACGAGATGCTGCAACACAGCCATCTTCTGTGGATCCTCCATCACACATCCCTGCAAAAGCTGCCATGCTCCTTTATAGTCAAAGAAACAAAAATGAAATACTTTATCCTTTAATTACACACATTAATCAATAAGCAGGTAAGTCTTGCAGTGTAAAACATTCCTCTCCGGACCTTGCAAATCTGCCATGTAACAGAGACCTACCTGCCATGGTGACCACAAGGAAGAGCCAACTGTTTTTGCCCCACTGCATGCCTTTGGTATCAGGCTATTTTTAGTATTGAATAACTGTGTAAAAATGTGTTTCAAACTCAACCTAAGCTGACACCATCATGATTTAATTCCACAAGACAGCACTGAGGCCCAATCAGCAGGGTGATTCAATTAGCAAAAATACATATAAAGGCACAGTTTTGGCCACCTGACTTCTCTTGACAATGTTAGTTTCATTAAGCCGGCAAGCTGGCTTGGAATTAAGAGTAGGTTACAAGGTCACTATTTTATTACAATTGAAGAATGACTATTTATCCACTCACATTCCAGTTTAATGCCTGCCCACTATTTTTGGAACCTGATCTTCATATGTCAGTTTATGTTTCAACTGACTGACTAGCTAAGATTTAACTAAATTCTAGAAATAGACACTATGGCTGACAAGAGAATATTTATTATGGAAAGGACGTCTCTGCTATAAAAATGGATTTACCCACAGCATTTACAGAATTAATTGTTCTGCATACTTCAGCTACTGTGTCACTATCTATACTACACACACACACACACTCCGAGTCCAAAGGGACAGGCCAGCGTGATATTCCCCTGTGCCTCCAAAAACCTTTGGAGTTGCCCAACAAAGCAAATTTGCTACCTTCTAGCATGACAAAATCCCTGCCCTGTTGGAAGAGGCTGTAATAGGGTGACTTTAGCCCAAACAGTCGTGTGCTACAGTCCACACTGCAGCTTGAGATCCTTGGGGGAACTAGAGGCATTTTTGCTTTAGTTACCTTGCTGCCCTGAGGTACATGAGCAAGTCACAGTCATTGACCCCCGGCATCCACACAAGTTCTTCATGTTGTGTTACTGTGCCGCCATCCGGGGAAGGAAATGGCTGCAAATCTGGAAGCTTAGCCTAGGAAAATTGAGAAAGAGTTCAGTGTGATCGTTATTCTTAATTCTGATTAAGCTGAGGAGCTCTGTGAGGGAAGCAGCTTTTATCCCAGATGCACCTACAGGAGAAGCCGAGGCAAAAGGAAGGCTAAGAGACTTGCTGCAGATTTCAAGGAAATAAGTTGTAGACCTGGGAGCCAATCTTACTTGGATCAACTGGCTCCCGTCATCCTTCCCCCCCACTTCTTTTAAACAGCAACATCTGCCAGCAAACAATCAGAGGCAGGCTCCTCTCCCTTTCTATTCACAACGAGGCCTTTGCAGCACATATTCCAGGCATAAGCATCTCAATGGAAGTGCTGCAGCCTGGAGTCATTTTATAATGTTTCATACTGGGTACATTGTCCTCCATCATCTAAAAATCAAAGCGCCTGCACAAACGTTGTGGGATAGTTTAACCTCAATTGCAGGGGCAAACAAGCTATTTCCACTTGTCAAAGGGAAACTGTTCTAACCGCTGTTTGGCAGGATAAAATGTATGCACAAAATATACGAATATGAAAGGAGGCAAGAACACAGCTACCTCGGGAGGTATCTATTCCATTTTAACTCCTCAGTAAAAACCCACACATTTGACATTTAGTGCGTTTACAAAGAAATTCTTAGTAAATCATTAAAACCTCAAAATGACCTAAGGAAATTTGCTGAAAGCAAGATAGCTTGGTGAAATGAACTCTGCCATTAAACGAGTATTACACTGTATCCAGAGACCCAATTAGCATCTTTAGTCATCTATAGCAATAGGATGAGATAGTTGAGAGCTTTTTTGGAAACAGCTTTTAAGCCCTATAATTACCTCTTACAGTTACAATGCTAAACATATTTGAAAGGCAATATTTATACATAACCAGTAATTACAAGTCACAGGTTTAGATGTCTTTCATGTTCTCCTCTTTAATCTGTACTTTATTTTACTTCTTTCCTAGGAAAATGGATAGGTCACTGCAATTCTCTGCTGTGGAAGAACAAGCAGACATTACGGACGTTGCTTCCAGTGGAGACTGGTATGAGACCAACACATTCGGTGCACCTGTTCGCAGCACCCAAGGTGCTTTCAATGAACTAGCATTGTTCTATGCCCTACAACAGCAATTCTCAACCTTTTTAGGCTCAAGGCACCCCTCCATTACTTTTGGGAATTGAGCAGCACCCCATTTCAAAAACTAACTTTATTATGCTGCTTACCCTCCTTCCAGATGTGCCAGGTAGTGTAAGCAGGTGAATGGTCAGGCAAGGACTGAGCCTAAGCCTCTGCTTATCTCCTTACATCCCATGGCACCCTTTCAAAGGGTCTCACAGCAAGCTTGGGTGCCCTGGCACCCTGGCTGAGAATGACTGCCTTAGACACAAATTTCCTCATCACTGCTTTCCCAAGAAAGGACTTCTTGAATGGGTCAGTTCATGAAATAGTCAAACAAACAAACAAAAAAACTACTAAATTACTAACTGGGGCATTCAGGTAGGACTCCTGGTCTGTTCTTTATCTGCCTTTGTGAATTGTAATGCTGGGCACTAATGCAACCACAAAACACATTATTTTTCATGACAGAACTTAGGAACCCGACATGGAAGCGGTTCTTGCCCTTGGGATCTTGCAATCTAAGTAAAAAGAAAGTATTCTTGTCTAGTGATTAGAGCACCAGCGGAGAGGACAAATCCTGGATCTGTCCCTGGTCTGGCCTTCAGTAGGGAAAAGTGGGGGAGTCCTCAACCTCAATACAACCCTGAGGAACTTTGAGAAAATTATCCAGGAGCACATCTGCGAGGGGCCGGCAGGGAAGATTATGCTTAGGGGCAACCAACATGGGTTAAATCGAGGCAGGTTCTGTCAGACCAACCTGGTAGCTTTCTATGACCAAGTCACAAAAGCCTTGGATGCAGGTGTCACGGTGGACGTAGTCTTCCTGGACTTCAGGAAGGCCTTCGACACTGTCTCTCACCCCATCCTCATTAAAAAATTAGGCGTCTGTCATGTTGACACCTACAGTCAGATGGGTCGCAAATTGGCTGGAGGGTCACACTCAGAGAGTGGTGGTGGATGGGTCATTTTCGACCTGGAGAGATGTGGGCAGTGGGGTTCCCCAGGGCTCGGTCCTCGGGCCCGCACTGTTCAATATCTTAACTGGCAACTTGGACGAGGGGGTGAAAAGCACCTTGTTCAAGTTCGCAGATGACACTAAGATGTGGGGAGAAGTGGGCACACTAGAAGAGAGGGACAGGCTACAACTAGATCTGGACAGATTACAGGGGTGGGCGGATGAGAATAGGATGGGTTTCAATACTGACAAGTGCAAGGTGCTGCACCTGGTGGGGGGGGAAGAACCAGCAGCACACCTACAGGCTGAGGAACTCCCTTCTCATCAGTGTGGAGGCAGAAAAGGATCTTGGAGTCACTACTGATTCTAAGATGAACATGGGCCAACAGTGTGGGGACGCAGTCAGGAAGGCTAACTGCACCTTGTCGTGCATCCATAGATGCATCACGAGCAGGTCCAAGGAGGTGATGCTCCCCCTCTATGCGACACTGGTCAGGCTGCAGTTGGAGTCCTGCATCCAGTTCTGGGCGCCGCACTTCAGGAGGGACGTGGACAGCATGGAGAGGGTCCAGAGGAGGGCCACCCGCATGATCCGGGGTCAGCAGGACAAGCCCTACGAGGAAAAGCTACAAGACCTGAACCTGTTCAGCCTCTACAAAAGAAGGCTGAGAGGGGACCTAGTGGCCGTCTATAAACTTACCAGGGGGACCAGCAGGCTATGGGAGAGTCCCTGTTCCCCTGAGCACTACCAGGGGTAACAAGGAATAACGGCCATAAGTTGACTGAGAGTAGATTCAGACTAGACATCAGGAGGCACTACTTCACAGTCAGGGTGGCTAGGAGCTGGAACCAACTTCCAAGGGAAGCGATGCTCGCCCCTATCCTGGGCATCTTCAAAAGGAGGCTAGACAGCCACCTACCTGGGGTCATTTGACCCCAGCATCCTTTCCTGCCCATGGCAGGGGGTTGGACTAGATGATCTGCTTAGGTCCCTTCTGACCCTACCAACTATGAATAGCTTCAGTTAAAAACCCAGTGAAGTCAAAGCAGTTTGCAGTCTTCATGTCTTCCATTATCTAAAAATCCTCAGGACATATCCTCAGTGACCAACCTGAATTAGCAGGTTGAGTAAGACTACAGGACAACTAGATATATTATAAACCTGACCTGCTAGATTCATCTGAAAACTACAAATTGAGATAATACCTTTTATCAGACCAACAAGATTTTTTGGGGGGGAAAAAAAAAAAAAAATTCTTTAATTGCAAGCTTTCAGGCACAAACACCCTTCATCAGGCATTGGAGAAAAGATTGTAAAAGTTCTCCTGGGTAAAAATGAAGGTCTACCCAGGAGAACTTTTACAATCTTTTCTCCAATGCCTGATGAAGGGTGTTTGTGCCTGAAAGCCATTTCATAGGAAATCATATTTCATAAGAATTTTTTTTTGCAAAAGTCTTGTTGGTCTAATAAAAGGTATCATCTCTACTACGAGTCCTGATTGCCTACTAGTTTCAGGTGCCCAACTGGAACCTTATCTTCACATGTGCAGAATATCCACAACTCTTACTAAAGTTACTACAGAAAGCTGGTCTGAGAATGGCTCTTATATGTCTCGTAAGTTGGGCAACCAAAATGAAGGCCTTGCAAATTACTAACCCTTCTTTGTGCCCAAGTTTTTCTACCTATAAAATGCAGCTAATAAATTATACCTTACACAGGAGGTAACAAAGGGCTCTGAGAATTTTGAAGGAAACCTGATAAGGAAATAGCCACATACTAGTCACTATTGTTAATTAAGAAGAATAACCTAGAATCAGTGAGTGCAATCTCTGACTTTATACAATTCTTCAGAAATGATGTCATACAAATTCATCCCAGCCCACTTTCATACTCTGTGTTTTAACAGCCCAAATTCACTGAGGCACCAGTTTTTCTTTTCTTTTTTTTTTTTTTTTAAATAGATTCCCAGTTCTTTTCATTTCCCACAGCCAACAGACCATGTAACGCACTCAAGCAATGGCATCACGGCCTCTGTATCATAAACATCTAAACCGCCTCTGCCTTTACAGGGTCAGAAGGTCAAACATTAACTGGATCATAAAGTTCTTCCAAAAGGCAAAAGAGACATACAAGCCTATATGTGAAAAAGGCATGAACATGAAGAATCTTTTGATAATCTTTCAGATCTTGTGCCCCAAAGTTACCAACTCATTTTTTAATTTAATATATTGTGAAGACAAATTATTAACAGTGAGAAAAGTCCATTGTCAGTTGGTTGGTTTGGTGGTGGAGGGGGTCTACACTAAATGGGCAGTAGGGCCTGTGGCAAGTAGGCAGCTATTCAATCTGGCGTTGGATCCAGCTGCTTCGGATGCCAGCAATCCGATCCGGAGCTCTGGACCGGGTTCCCGCTTCGATCCGGCCGAAACAGCTCTGAAGCTCTGGAGCCACCTCAGAGATCTGGCCATAGGGTATAATGGGGAATCAATGAAATATCTATAACTTCATTGCTTTTTCGTCTGATTTGGATGAACCTTGCAGGGGTGGTAGCCTCTGCTGAGAGCATGAAGCCTGCCAAGTTTCAAGAAGATCGGTGCAGAGGTTCAGGGGAACTGTACCCCAAATTCTTGAAAGCAAAACTCATGTCGTGTCTGTGTTACACCATAGGGCGGTGAAAACTGCAGAGGTGGTGGCCCCTGCTCAGCCCACAAAGCCTGCCAAGTTTCAAGGAGACAAGTGCAAGGGCTTGGGGGAAACTGCACCTCAAGCTGCTGACAGGCAAAATTCATGACATGGGTGACACTGTGTGTTAAGGCGCAGCAGGATGAAAGCTGCAGGGATGGTAGCCCCGGCACAAGCACCCATGCCATGAGTTTAGTCTGTCAGCAGAGTTTGGTCTGCCCTGCACCTATCTCCTTGACAACTGGCAGGCTTTGTGGCCTCAACAGGGGCCACCACCCCTGCAGTTTTCACCCCCCTGTGAGTCTACAAGACTTGTCTGCAAGAAGGAATCCACTAACCCTTCCAGCCATTATGATGGATTTGGACTTGCTCTTTAATAAGTTATGAATATAGTAAGTTGACTTGGTTATTTAGGGGGTTTGTCTTTGAATATATTGGTTTACTTTAATAGGAAGCTGTCAGAAAAAAAAAATCAATGAGGGGAGGAGAAAGAATGGCTCAAACAAACTCCCAGGACAGAAGGAGAGGTAGCCTAATGCAGGACATCAAATGAACACTACCAGCTTTTAAACAGCACTCTCAAAAAGCAGCCAAGACATCAGGGTGAGCCAGGCTCAGACTGGCACATATTAAGCTGTCTGAAGAAGGCAGGCCTGATAAGGGTACTATTTTGGGACAGTAAGACTAGTCAAGATAGACATGCGTGTAGACCGCTATTTTAAAATCCTCTTTTCTCTGTGTTCCTTTGATCCTGCTTTTAATATAAACAATATTTCTTTTTTCTGAAGGCTGTGTTGTTGCCCCATACACTGCAGAGCACGGATACCCAAGGTGAAGAACTACAGGTACCCACTCTCAGCTGGACCTGAAGAAACAGAACCGTTGATGGATGGGGTACAACAGAGTCTAGGGCCTGGTCCAAGGGGCCTAGAACCATCTAGTGCCCTTATCAAGGCCAAACTCCTGGAAAGCTACACTTAGAGGGAGGAAAAGTAAAAAGCTAAACTTGAAATCATTACACAGCACATCAACAGGTGTTCCTGAAAGGACTGTACACAGTATTATAAAAGTATCCTTCACTACAAAAATGTATATTCTTCCCTCGCAGTCCTCTCTGCCTAGAAGGACCTTTTCAGATATATGAAGTTAGAGTTCTCTGGCTTTTGGCACATTGCAATGCCTTGTTCTGCTTCTAATGGAGCGTCCATTTATCCACAGTTTCAATTGGCGTACTCTCATTAAAAAGGGAAAGAGACCAAAGGCAAACTTCTTAAATAATAAAGCTAACAACAAGTTGTCGTCTTGGCAATATGATGATGGGAACACTAAAAGAAAACCAATATGAAACCGTAAGCTTTTGGTAAACTTTGTTTCCTTTTTTTAAATGTTTGATTAACTGAAGTTAAATTCAACTAAATACACTCTTTTTTAAATGCGTAACATGCCTTATCAACTGATTTTTCCTCATTTCCAATAGCAGACCAGATTCCATTAGTCCAACTCCGTACTGAAAAGTCGCATGCATTGGGAATAGTCATTAAAAGAGCAGCACTTACTAGAAAACACCTCCATTGCCTGAAGTGAAGGTGACAAAGGATTGTAAAGAATGCTCACCTGTGTAACTGTGTTAACTACTTAGAAACATGCACAATTTTAAGTCAATATTCCTTGAACTAATTCAACGGCTTTAGCAGGTCACTGAAACACTTAAGCATGTAACACGCAATCAAACCCTTTTTACCTGATGGCTGGGTCCAACTCTGATTTCCCCCTGGGTGCTGTTCAGCCTCCTATCATGAAAGACAAAAAGAACAGCAATCAGTAAGTAAAGGTTACAAGTAACACAGCTTTGCACACACATCCGCTATCCATACAAAAAGCCTTTTGATGTCTGTTTGCAATGCAAACTGAAAAATAGCAAAAATAATGCACCATTAAAGCAAAAAACAGAAGACACATTCTTCAGCAGGGCGGGACATGTTGCAAATGGCAGAAGCCAATGAGTCTGGAATTTTTGGTCAAGCAGCTACCACATTAGCAAATCTCTAACAGGATCATTTCTTTGCGCCACCTATCCAGGCAGCAGTGAAAGAAGGATGATAGATGATGGTCAGTCAACCTGCCTACCTCCAATTTGTGGCGCTCAAATCCCAAGCATCCCAGTCCCAGGGCTTACCAGCTGCAAACAACAAACTTCCAGTGAATCCTGGACTGCCCTTAATCAGTCTATAAGCATCAGAGATTTATGCTCTAAAGAGCAACATACTGATTGCACCATTGCTGTTAACAGCCTAAGTGTCAACACCATATGCTTTAGAAGAAAACTCCTACTCTCTCTCTCTATCCTCTTACGGAAGCATTATGCTCTTATGGAAGTAGCTCAGGAATAAAAAAAGTTTACTTTATTTTGACAGCACAGAGATGATTTCTTTATTAACTTCTGGAAGCAACCAAGAAAGTTGCATCTGCATCCTCACCCCTCCTCTCTTCTTTGATGGTTATATCATAAATGTGTCTTAAAAAGGACAGATGCACCAAAACTGAGAATCTGGGTTACTGGCAAAAACCCACCTTTTAGGGTCATGTCTGGCAAAACTATTCTAACACATGCAGCTCAATTTTGAGAGAAGCTAAGCTCCCCAGAACTACCACTAATTTTGCTTGGTGTCTCAGGTGTTCAGCCTTCTGAAAAATGATGTCTGTAGTCTGCTCAATAAAGGTTCCTGCTTATAGATGTACCTGTGGGATCCAAATGCAGCCAAAGCTAGGAAGGCTGCATTGCGCTGCAGGACCCCTAGAGAGGCATTAAGGAATACAGCAAAGTTCAGAGAGATTTAAATGTCTCAAGGGCTGAAGTTCTGCAAGGTCTCACTTATCGTTTTAAGAATAGTATGTTACTTATGTGCTGCATTAATTCATATATCTTCATGCATATACTGTGAATATACACCATGAGAAAACACAGCAGTCCCTGTGGTCTTCCCACAAACTATACCCATCATTATTTAAATGCAGGTATACGCACTTTTGAGCGAACTATTTCAGTAGTTGCAAGATATTAAAACAATGCTAAACTCACTGGCAAGCAAAATGGAAGAGCTTAACCTGAATCATCTGCCAAAAGTAAAAGCAACCCATTTGGATTGACCTTTATTGTTTAGCTATCGTAGGGAACGATACCGGTACATGAGGTCAGTTACTATTCCTGTGTTTTCCAACGGCCTCTTTAGGCAAAACGGGGTAAATTAAACTTTCTTCAAATACTAGAAATGAAAACCCAGACAGTAGATTTGAACCCTGTATTAGAACACAGATATCCAGATCAAACAGACTAGCATCATCAGAAGTCACAAAGGCCATTAAGAATCCAAGGCATTTTTGAGGTGGCCACGAGCACTTTTAGAGCAACTCCCATGCCAGTATCTCAAAGTACTTCAGAGATTAACAAATTGAACCTCAATGTCTTGGTAAGACAGGGAAGCTTACATATATCTCTTTTGCATAGGTGGGAAAACATGGCAAAAGACTGAAGAGACTTGAACAAAGCCATCACACATGGTGGCTACTCTCAGATCCAGGTCCCATGTTTTAACATCATTAGAGAATGCTTCCTTCTCTACATCCCACAAATACATACCAAAAAAGCGTGGCAAAACACCCCCCTCAAACCACTGGAATCCAAATGGAAGTAAGTAAATGTCAAAAAGGTATTCCCCCTTTTCAAAGGCATCTCTTTAGGATATGCATGGTATATATTTACAGAACTATGGCTTTAATATAGGACATGCACATTTTCAAATTCATTCGTTTCACGGCTTCAGAATAAGCTACCTATCATCTAAAATGAGATTTGTTTGAAGCAATTCCCTAATTAATCAGATGTACATTTTTATTTGTTGTTAAGATAGCTATTTCCTGCTGCAATAAAAAAAAAAATCAACCTAAAAAACAATTTGAGAAGAGAGATTTTATAATGGGAAAACAGGCATTCCCACCTCCTTCACAGAATTCATTATAAAACTGCATTTGTGTCTGAGGGTCAGAGTCACTCAGACTCCCGACTTGCTGAGGTATTGTCTGTCAGGTGGGGTGCCTCAGACCAAAAGCAAGAAACATGAACAGATTTTTGTATTTAAAAAAAACCAACAATAAAAAAGGAACCAATATTCTCAGAGAGACAGAATAAGGGCTGCTCTGCCTAATCTTTCTTCCATCCTGCGCCTTTATTCCCACAGCTCAGTACAGTGAGAAAAACAAGCTGCTAAATCCACTCTTTTATTCCAAAGCACCTTTCCGCACTATGGCTCAGTGCCCAGAAAGAGGTCTAGCAAGAGGGACTCAATGGGGTCTTAAAAGAGCACTGTAAAAGAGCCTCAGCTGCAGCCTTGGCCATGCTCTCGCTCAGCCTATCTGCTCCAATCAGCACAAGGGTCTTAGCTTCTCCGCTCCTTCTGCAAGGTGCACACACCACTTTGCATATCACTCCTGCACAATGGGGTCAAGCTGCTGTTGCACGTATCAGAACTGAATAAATGCTCTGAGTATCAGGCACTAAAGAGCTGGAAAATTTGCTAAGCTGTTCTGGGGGCATCGGTTTCTCCTTGTCAAAAATACACAGGTCCCTTTCTGCATCTGAAAAATGCCTGTTCTGAGCCAGGTCTCAGGGTGATAAGCAGAACTGAAGCTTAAAGAGAAAAGGAAATGCATCCCCAGAGCAGCTACTAAAACAGGGGAAGGGGCAGTGGCTGCTCGCTGCTGGAGACCTGAGTGCAAGTGCTCAGTGGAGAACACACAATTTGCTTTTATCACATTGCAAAAGTAATCACAGAGTCCAACAGGATTAGCAAGATTTGCTGAAGAAACCCAGAACTGTAATGGAATTGCGAGTTTCAATGGGACAAAATTGAGGATGTCTGACTGCAACAAAGCTATGTCATAAATGTACATACATGCATGTGAATGCGCACACACACCCCCCACCGTGCTCCAGATTTACACTGCTTTCATGGCCTACAACCAGTTTCACAAACCCATTTTTCCACACTGTTAAAACAAAAACCAGTTAAGCAAAACTGCTAACGTGGATATGAATCAACAGATAACTTCCAAACAAGCCAAAGGCCCTGGAAAAAACCCAGTAATATTTTAACCTTGCATTCATTCTAAAAGAAATGTAGCAATGCAATTCTTCTCTAATTGCCCATTTCCTTCATTGGCTTTACACTGACAGTACTTAATAAAACGTTTCATATAAAAGTCTTGGGATGTTATATGTTCCAGCATTCTAGAAATAATTGCTAACATACCAAATCCAAAACTTTGCTCCCACTTTCCTAAGTGCATTCATATGGCGGGGGGGGGGGGGGGGGCCGGCAGGGCCGTCCAACCACTGTTATTCACATCTCTTTCTGTACGCAGTCTCTTCATGTATTTTCTTGCTGCTTGTTTGTCATTCCTCTAACAGTTTCCTCAGCAGACACCATGTGCCCCAAAGGTATGTAGGGAA